GGGTACGGGTTGGGGGTCGGGTCTTTGTGTACTGTATTCTCGAATTGTCCCCTCACTATAGCTACTGTGGATTTTGAGTATTTAGCTATTCTCACTCTGCAAAACAACCAACCTGTGGTTTTAGTATGCAGCTTTCTCCTCTCAATGCGTCTATGTGTCCGGCAATCGCAAACGTCACTCAACCCGTGAGGTCTCAATATGCAGCTATCCGTACTGAAAGCGTCGTTGCTTCCGGCACTCTCCAACATCACTCAACTCGTGAGGTTTCAGTATGTAGCTCTTCCCGCTCAGCGCGTCTATGTATCTGGCAAACTCAAAAACCAATCCATCTGTGAGGTTTCAGTNGTTTCAGGGGGGGTTGGGGTACGGGTTGGGGGTCGGGTCTTTGTGTACTGTATTCTCGAATTGTCCCCTCACTATAGCTACTGTGGATTTTGAGTATTTAGCTATTCTCACTCTGCAAAACAACCAACCTGTGGTTTTAGTATGCAGCTTTCTCCTCTCAATGCGTCTATGTGTCCGGCAATCGCAAACGTCACTCAACCCGTGAGGTCTCAATATGCAGCTATCCGTACTGAAAGCGTCGTTGCTTCCGGCACTCTCCAACATCACTCAACTCGTGAGGTTTCAGTATGTAGCTCTTCCCGCTCAGCGCGTCTATGTATCTGGCAAACTCAAAAACCAATCCATCTGTGAGGTTTCAGTATGCAGCTATCCTCACTCAACGTGTCTGTGTCCGGCGCTATCCAACATCACTTAACCGGTGAGGTTTCAGTATGCGGCTATCCCCACTCATCGCGTATCTGGCAAACTCAAAAACCAATGCATCTGTGCGGTTTCAGCATGCAGCTATCCTCAGTCGACACGTCTATGTGTTCGTAAATCTCCAATACAAGTCGCCTGTGAGGTTTCAGTATGTGTCTTTCCTGACTCAAAGCGTCAATGTGTCCGGCATTATCCACCATCTCTCAACCGGTGGGGTGTATGTATGCGGCTATACCCCCTCAACTCGTCTATGTATCTGGCAAACTCAAAAACCAACACATCCGTGGAGGTTTCAGTATGCAGCTATCCTCACTCAACACGTCTATGTGACCGGCAATCACCATCGCAAATCACCTGTGAGGTTCAGTACGTGTCGTATCATCACTAACTTCGTCTGTGTCCGGCACTTCAACATCACTCAACCGGTAAGGTTTCAGGATGCAGCTATCCCCACTCAATCCGTCAATGTGTCTGGCAATCTCAAACCTCACTCAACCCTTGAGGTTTCAGTATGCAGCTATAATCACTCAACACGTCTATGTGTCCGGCAATCTCATACAATACCCAACCTGTGAGGTTTCCGTAAACAGCTATCCTCCCTCCACTCGTCCATGCGTCACGCGTCTTTGGTAGCGCATACTATGGGGGCTATGTTTGGGGTGGCGTCTTTTACAGCGCTTAGCCAAGAGCGCCTACCCACTTACGTCTAGAGGCGGGGAGTCTTGTAGAGGGGGGGGGGTGTACTCGTAGTCGTGCATTCCGTAGTCGTTAGACCATTGACCTCGCATCCCTACAAAGCCGGGACGGAGCACGCCGGGTTCTCACCGGACCAGGCTCTCACATCACCAAGCGCG